TGGCGCATCCTGAACAGGGTTCGATCCACGTGGAATGCGTTATCCTTTATCCTTATTACTCCTAACATGGTAATGCATTTTTATTTGCAGGTGGTGCGTTACCTTCAGCCGCTCCCATTTTGTGGATCGGGTTATCACCGCATAGCTTTCGTCTTGTTTCGTCATGAAAAGCCGCTGGAATCGTTGCCATTGTTCTACAGGTCAGCAAAGAATTATGCTCTGAAAGCTTGGTGTCATTGCTTCATTGCTTTCATAGCTAAGCTTCTCAATTTGCTTTGATTCGGTGCTTTCAGTGATACGTTGGCTGGCCGAGTTTTCTCGATGTCTAATCTATACAAGCAAAATGAGGATTTAATCACACCATCATGCGTAACATTTTTCCAGACTACTTATGACATATGTGTGAAGGAGCAGTTACACAAAATGGGTGAGTGAGCTTGTATAGTGGCTTTCCAGTATTTTTTTTATTAACTTGTTTAACCTACACGACCGTACGGCCCACCGGTAGGCCACGGATTTCAACAGTCTAGTCAAATCACACATAAATTCTTCAGCTCTTTCATAGGTCACTAATCTTTCCTTCTCGATGCAATGCGTAGTTAGTTTATACGATAGTTCAGAAAAGAAACCTGCTGCAGAGTCAATGTTGTTATACACAAACAAAATAACAGGGCCTGCTGGACCGCGTGAGGCAAGCCGGTGGGCCATAGCCGCATTTTGCGAGAAAACACGCGCGGTCGCACGCGCCGACACTTTTAGAACGCGCGGTCGTCAAAGGGTAATGTTATGACATTTTTCTTTTCCCTCCTTCGTGGGTTTCTGTAGTCGATTGCATTTTTGTTCGTATCCATAGTATGAAACAAATTTGATTGCAGGTCTCAAGTCGCCAATTTATGAATATCAGTATAACGAAGCCTTGAAGCCTGAACAGAAGGAGTTCCCTAAAAAGCCGCAACCGTTTGACTTGTAAGTTCTTCTGAGGTCTAAATTCTTACTCTTTCACTTATAGCGTTTTTCTTATCATATAAACTAAAAGTTCTAAGAAACTAGTAATAAGTTTTTAGATACTTGGATATGTACCGAGATCCTAAAGAAGTGGAAAAAGAGTTACTAGAGGAAAGGTTACGGCGTGCTCAACTCGACGATTACCAGGTGTGCTGTGACTTTCTAAAGATTTTTCCCCCTCATTGCGATATTAAATTATGGATTCTTGAGGCGCCAAAATGGCTGGATCCGAATTATAACGAGAACAAGAAGGAGCTGCCCGCTTGGCAACACCGCAGAATTTTAGCTAGAGAGGGACGGTATCGTGCACTCTATAATAATGCATTGAAGTCGTGAGCTGGTCAGATTTTATTTGGAATTTATGTGTCCTGTTCCGCAAAGTCTCAGCGGTTCTAAACTCAGTGTTGTAATTGGGTGTGATCAGGACATGGTGTAGTCGAAAGATCTTACTGTATAGATTAGGGATCCTAGGATGAGATTTATTGAAGGCTATAGATTTTTTTGTATCGATTGCTTGGAAAGTTTGCTCATATTTTGTTGAGTTTTGATGTTATTACTTCTGTTACACAAGTGTTTGATTTTGTCAACTTTTCACTACTAGGGTAGGAGCAATGTTTTTCAGATGTGGATTGGTCCGAGTTTTCAATTTTTTTTCTTGTAAATGAAAAGGCTATGTCTGCCTTTTCCAAAAGTATCCGTGCTGTAGACCTATATGTGTTGCATTTTATCAGAACCATGTACCTCTTAATATAGTTGTTTTATATATGGATGGCGTACAAACAAGAACTGCTAACGTCTTACCATTAACCATTTAAGTATTTCTTCCTAGAATCGTTGCAAGCGCTCAGGTCTTTTCGTCCAGTACCTCCGTACAACTGGCTACGAGCCACTAGGTTGAGTATGTAGACATGTCACAAGACCTTCAGTCATGCTAGAGGCTCACGGTGGTTTTGATTTTACCACCCAGTCACAGGGAGGTCAGGTGAGTGAGCACCGAAATCTTCATATAAATAAAGCTGCAAAACACAGTTATTCCCTAAGAAGGTGTTCAAAAATTACGTTTTCACGGTACATCCCGCTCATTACCGGGATGATCAAACATTCCCGCAAAAGACCTGAAATAATGAGGCACCGATTCTCATTCCTATCACTATTGAGGATTTACGCGAACATTGCAGTTCTTGGCAGTGGCAGTGGAACCACCGGATCGCCTGAATTGCAAGCATCGAACACAACCTAAGCTCAGGGAATAACAGAGTACAGCATCGTTTCAATAAGTTAAGGATCCTAGAATCTAGACGACCGTAGCTATTGTAGTGGTTAATCCGTCATCTTCCATTTCGACTTTGTTCACAATATCAGTGATCTGGGACGGTGCTGCGGTAGTGGTTGTAGTAGTAGTTGTAGTAGTTGTCGTCGTCGTCTCTTCGTCGGTAAAGTCAAAACGTGTTCTCGCATCGACTGAAACGGTGCATTATAGTACTTAACACCTTGCGGACCACCGTAGTACGAGTATCTCTGTACCTCATCTATGTTTTTTGAAAGATAGATCATTATTAATCTATCAGCAATTTTGTCAGTGATGTGCATATTATTTCCGCTTCTGAAAATGAGTGCGAACAGTTCAGGAACATTGAAAAATGCCAAATAAATCAGATAAAACTATGCTTTTCGTGTGAAATCGTGCGCCACATGGTGGCGCACGCGGTACGCAATGTGTTAAAGGAGGAATTCACGATAAGAACGAAGGTCAAAGAAGGGGAAAATTGCATAGTTGGGAGACAGGCGGACCTCCTGAGGGTGCTGACCGACGCGCAATTGGCAGCGAAAGATTTGACCTCGGCGATCTAGCATGGCTCACTCTTGGCGCGGTTGGCGGGGTACGCCCACCGACTATCTAATCACTCGCCGCAGGTCTATACGTGGCGAGTGATTAGATAGCAGAGAGAGCGTAGTGTTGCACAGCGATGAGAGTCGCATCAATGCGCAAATCAACGGGCAAGGAAGGGGTCCCATTTCTCGGGTTTCGGGCCGTTTCAAATGGTTTCCCTGCTCCACTGACCACCTCTACCCTTATTTCCAATGAGCTAACTTTTCATCGTAAATTCTGCCTTTAGAATAAACATAAGTGTTAATTAGTAGCTGAAGGAAGGGATAAGCAAACAGCGCTCGATGGATCGAATTCTTCTTAGAGTGTTCGTTCATCACAAGCGTCATGTACAAAATATTGCCTACGCTAGGGAGCTAGACGCTGCCTTTCATGGAATTCCGTAGATGTCTGATCGGAGAAAGATCGCATATCACGTTTGAGATCATGTCATTTAGCACAACATTTCCGGCCGAGAAAAAGCGCTAGAGGCCAGAGCAGATAGTCTTATGTTGGTAAGAGGTAAGGGCTATGCAGCGAAATTGGAAGAACTGTCCAAGAGTCTCCAGTCTTTCCTGAAGTCATTCGCATTCTGCGGTAACAGTTGCAAAGGGTGCTTTGCTTTCAATTGGAAGCGTCGCCACCAGTCCATTGACGTTTGGCATTCCCCATTGACTTTGGCTTGAGTAGGTAGCAGTTCCCCGTGATCAATTCCTCTCATGTTTCACCGAAATTCAGAACGACCCGACTTGGACGAGGTTAGACTATGGTCTCAAAACTCTTGAATCATTGGAACTGGATTACCGCCGCTTGTTATTATTAGTACCACTAACCGGCTCAGCATTGGATCAACTCCATAATTGCAAATCCCATGAATCTTGGAATTATCTTCCGTTATCTTCCGGCCTTTTGTTAGATAGAATGCGTTGGCATATGACGATATTTCCCATTTCAAAAGTCGGGTGACGAATTGGAGAGATCTTTGTGAGATCATTGTTATAAATTAAAAACCACCCATCATAGATCGACATTCGTTTTTCTAAGGGGGGCGATTTTTTTTCCAACAACAAAAATAGTATATCATATAATCAGAGTCGAATCTAACCACTACATTAAGCTCATGTTCCAAAATGTGAGTGTAGTCAAAGTGCTCGGCGCCACTCCCAAAGCTTTGATAGGTTGTTATTTTTTCAATTCCGAAAGAAAGTGAAAGTGGAAAGTGCATGGAGAATCCGGTCAGTTCTTAGGAAACTGTCGTTTCAATCCTCCTAGACACTATTCCACATTTTATGTTGTTTTCCCACAATCTGCCTCTGTCTGTAAACATCCTTCCGCATTTCAATTGGGAACCCCCCCGCCCCCCAAAAGTACATTGGTGAAAGCTCGATCAGTGCTTAGTAGCTATCGGTTTCAGTTTCGTTACGCGCTATTTCCAAATTCTTATAAGATCTTTGCCATTAACTGCGTTTTCTATGGTAAACACTTCCTATCCTGCATTCTTGTGAGAAATCCAAAAAAACTAATAGTTAAAAACTTGTGATCCTTACCGTAGGTATACTCGAATGTAAGCGACATCCCAGTATTACGAGATGTCACAATGAATGGGACAATATTGGACCTGGATAGAATTCGCCTTTGGTAGGCTTGTTGACAGCAAAACCTGAATCCACAAATTTTTCCGGGTACACCTTATGAGCACAGTAATGCTAACGTACCTGTACCCGACAGGTCGTACATCGTTCGACATTTTGAACTCAACACCATCTTCCCAACAGCCTTCAACGCATCGTCCATGCACTTGAACAATATTCACCAATACTCGTTTTCCTTGGGGAGCCTGGAATTTGTGCGAAACGCTAAATTCATGCAAGAAAAAGGGTGGTGACGCTGTGGAAAAAGGCGCCGCTACCATACGCGCTGTTCATGGATCGAGACTTGCCCAGGCTAATCAAGCTCTCTACTTCTTTGAGGCCGGAAAATTGCTAACAGAATTGCCTGGGAAAGTGAAAGCTCCTAAATCAACCAGATATTGATTGCATTGTGCTAGCAGTACAAATGAAATGCCTCTGTGGTTTTGAGTAGAATTCAAGCACTTATGTGAGATATCCCAAAAGGATTGGATAGCGCTGGGCTTTGTAACCATTCATCAAGTTTCAAATCATATCTACGTCGTGAGTTCCCGAACCTTTTTTCACCATCCCTACGTTTTAGCACATATCTACTTGCTGGGAATCACTCTCAGAATGCGCCGCATTCTCAACTACCGCGCATTATTTTGGTAATATGTAAGTCAGGGACCAGCCGATGTTTAGCTAAATTATTCATCTTTCCGCCAACGCTAGTAAGGAGGGTTAGACTGTGACAACCGGGATCTGATCAGTAAGCGTCTATGATCACTATGCCAACACCTGCTCCCACTTATGCTGTGTTCCACTATCTGGCTCCATTAACTCACCATCAATGATTAGGGTGGAACATTCGGGGCTGATCAACTGCTCACCGCTCTCTTTTTGGAATGCGCCACGCCTCCTACTTCAATTCAGAATAGCCGTGGCATGAAAACAATTTGGCCTTTACACTGCACATGAGTTGTGAAAGCCAGCCGATGTGCAATTCAGTGTTTTTATCCTCCCAGACAAGTCTGGTACCAATTAACCGACCCCGGAGGGATGGAAGGCTTGGTTGGCCCGGGCGACTCACGACCCAGGATTTGATCCCCGGACCGCTCGCGTGGTGAGCGCGCCACTTGTCACTACACCACTTCCGCCCAAAGCCTATTGCTGAGAGAAAAGCACAAGAATACCTTTAGGTGATAGATGCACTGCTTTGTTCGCCTCTGACCGATTTGTTTAGAGTAACTCGATTGACATAGCAGAGGAGCTCATGCTCAGAAGGTAACAAGCTCTATTTCCCTATCAGTTTGAGCGGTTTTGTAGCCTTGCACAAGTTAACGCCTGGTTCTGTCAGAGAGCAGAGGAGATCTAGTACAGTGAAGCGAATTGAGTCGCTTTATCGGAGGCACACTCCGATGTTGGCACGGAATTGGGGTGTTCTTTGAAAGTGAGATTTTGTAAATATTTGTGCCGAACATTATTTAATATCTATGCGTGTATTTCATAACGCCCAATTGACTAAAATACACAAGGTGAAGCTGGAGTTTGGGCGAGGGCATTTACTGTGCTCTCATCTAAGATACAGAATGATCAGATTTCGTGACTAATCGGCTCCATTTTAAGTATGCATAGGTACGTGAGAGTGTGTGTACAATAAAAATTGCGTTGAAGTGAACACATTTAGTCTGAAAGTTCTAAGGAAATGGTGCTAGAACAAGGGAACTTTGATATTTATGCTATCTCGTGAAGATGGAGTTGAGTTAGATTGAGGTAGAATTTCCCCTCCATAGGTCAGGTCACACAGAGCTGCCACTTCATGAAAAGCTGAGGGGATTGGTATAGTATAAGGCTTCGGGCTTGCTTCAGCTATGGCTGATATGCTTACTATGATTAGGGTCATACGGCTTAGTCTGGCGTTTCGAAGTAAATGAGTGGTGTATAATTTTTGGGTATTCTGACTGCTGAGCTAGCGAAGTGAAACGCACTCGAGGAGCTCCAGGGTGGATGAGGAGGTGCGTGATTTCTTAAAGTTACGATATTCTAGAAAAACTACTGCACTTAGATCGGTTTCAAGATCTCCCTTTGTCCATTGAGTAAATCCTGCCTCCTACCACTGGTATATGAGCATATTATCAATATGACTGTACCCCAGCCCCCGAAATAACGAACTTGCATCGATTACACGTTCGACTATCGATGAAGCCACCATTTTGGCATGGAAGCGATCGTGGACAGTTTGCTGGAACAGTTAGATGAATATGTTCAGGGCTAGTCTCTGAAAAGCTACATTAAATATTGCATACCTTGACAATTATAATGAAGATTCAGAACTAGAATGTCCAGAAAAGATGGTCCTTCCATTTGACCCATCGTTTGTTGTAAGTTAGGGTCGATCGTGGTCAGCGCCGGGATCTGTTTGAGGGTGGAGAATCTGAACGACAGTAGATATGACAGCCAAAACGGTTGATTTGCTTGATACAGACATATTTAAACCTTCCTTATGGTATTCAGCAAACTACCTATTCTAATGGATCGAGCCGGTTCGAATTTTAATTACGATAAATACAAGCATGCATAGCTGCCCGTTGGTAAGCAGTGACTTTAGCTATCCATGGGTTTCGATGGCTTGACTAGAAATTAGTCAACACCAGGTCAACCGTTCGTTGGTAAAGCTACTAATGGGGTGGGGAGGGGGGATGGAAAGGTCAAAGGGCAGAGAGAAGGGGTCTTATTCGTAGAAGTCGAAGGAGTCGGTTGCCAAAGAAGTTCTTGACGGGTATTTGGTAATTTTTGACAAGAAACCTTAGGCAATACGTATCAACTGGACAAAAATAGAGCATCTGTTGCTTTTTGAGAGATATTTGCCGCTCCCCACTCTCACTCGATGGCCGTTTTGAATGGAGAAAGCGGGCAAAGTTGGAGTGTGTCGGCTGGTTTCAGAAACAATTACTGTAGAGGCTGCTATGATGAGAAAGCTGCCGTTCGGGGTGGTGGGGGAAGGTCTCTCAAGGCTGGTGATAGTTGTAGAGGTTAGTAAAATGTTCGAAAAAAAGTACCCTTGCTAGGGCTGACCTTGCCCAACTCCCTTCAGTTCAGTCCTTGTACAGCGTAAATAGGGATGGTGGTTCGCTGCGAAGGCCGAGATGAGATGTTAATCTGGATGAAATCAATCCTGTGCACCGCACAAGCACGGAATGGCGCTCCTAATCACTGCGCTGCACTTGATGGCGTTCGAGGTTTTGTAACAACAATTCTTTGAATGTTTCACAAGAATGCTGGGTTGTGAACAAAACTTTCGCCCCAGGCGGGACTAGAACCCGCACCTCTCGCTTTCCGGGCCCGCCTGGGGCGAAAGTTTTGTTCACAACCCAGCATTCTTGTGAAACATTCGCAACGCGAACTGCGGCGTTAAAACAGCAGTTAACAAACAAAACAAGTCAAAATTCTTTAAAGTTTTTTTGCTGCTGTCAACAAACATTGAAGGATAAAAACTAACACACATAACCACACCCATTCCCAGAGATGAGCCACGCTTGCAAATCGAGAGGCCATCTGCGCTGAACTTATGGGCGGGGTCACTTGGAGCAGCCATGAGCTCTGACTGGTGGGCATCTTTTTGCAATTTTAAGGGAGGAGCCGATGAGAGAAGTGCAGTGCTTCATTGCTTTGCCCATCAGACAGCGTGAAATATGCATTTGGAGTAACAAAAAAGGGAATAACGCCGTGCAGGTTCAGTTTTCGTCCTTTTGAAGAGGGACGAAGAATAAACCGTTCGACGTTTACCAGTCTTTTTGGGAATTTGCTGCATCGACCCCTCTCGGAATCGTTTGTGAATTGGATGCTTTCTTGGCTACAGGAACCTAAAGGTACCTGTCGATGTACAAGCTAGGGCGGGCTCTAATTCTTAATAAGACCTTGCCAGTGGACTGCTTCCTCAGGAATAGATGGCTTGTCCTGTGCTTCACTAGTTCCCAGCTCAATCTTCACCGTGAGCTGGTACTGATTTTATGCACCAAAAGGCTCGTTCGTAATGTTGTCTAGAGGACAGAACTCACTCTGTTGGAGTGTAGTGCATGACACTGCCGACGTCATACGGTAATCGGTACGTGTTGAGCTCTTTTGGACCGATCTGTAAGGAATAGTAGTTGCTCCAGCCATCACTATTTTTTCCACTTCTGTTCCATCATGGCTCTTACGGAATGTTCAATATTTCCAATTGGTCGGAGAGATTCACCTTCGCAAAGTTGAAGAGAAGGGTCGGATCGACGACGTTGCGATTGAGCTGCACCGTCGCATCGCGATCGTA